CCCCAAAACCCCAAAACCCCAAAACCCCATGAAGCAGAGTAATAAATGTGATATATTAAGAAATTCAAGTATTTAATAATCTTGGATATTAGATAGGATATATTATTTTCAACAGCTCTGTATCAATATCATCTATGCCATTCTTTAAATTCCCTCAAGAAAAATGATTCTCATGATAAGGGACATCTTTGATTAGTTCCATACTTATGTTTGTCCCCATTCTATTTGATTTAAAGCTGTCATCAGAAAAATGCTGATTCTAGTTATATTGTGTTTAGTTAATGCCACCAGAGTAATTAGTTCTCTTCTATTTTGATGATAAATCTCTGAATCTTTTTAGGTCTTCAACAAGCTACTATTCAAATATACCACTGACTTCATTACTAAAGAAGTTGTTGCTATTACTTCCACTAATCTCATTACTAATCTGAATTTTAAAATCTGGGTTAGCTTATAGGACACCAGCACCACCGCTAAGCCAACTGCCATTCTTTATATTCATGCTAGAGCCACTATTATGCTGCTAGAAGTTTTAATCTAAGAAATCTATATTAGTTACTCTAAGCAAACTATTAATCTCTTCTTTGGAAATACGTCTCAAATATTGCTAATTACAATCGTCAATGTTGTGAGATTTATTAAGCTGTCCTGAGACAGCTTTTGGAGATGCTATGAGGAACTAAGATACTCCACTCATCTTACTATTTCTATCAGGAAAGAGATCTTGCTATTCATCTATTATAGAATTGATATCCATCCTTGAATCATTGGAAAATCTTGGAATCTCATTTTAACTTGATTTTTAATTGTACTATTACTCATAAATTTAGCCGTCATCACAAGCTTAGTCTTTATCTTCAATCGAAAATCTTTGCATATTGTCTACTAGTCTATTGACCTGTTCAGGTTTTGTAGCAAGTCTATTTCTCTATTGTTATTCAAAGTTCCTTTAGAATATCGAATCTAAGCTATCTCTGCTCATATTTACATCTCGTTATCCTTAATTGCCAAGCTTAGAATCTTATCTTTTATGGTGTTGATTTTAAGGATTGGTAATTTATGGATTTTCCTAATGAATTTATGCCCTTTACATTTTTTACCATTATAAAAATTCTTGCAATTCCTCTTCAGTTATTATCATTGGCTGGCTTTAATCTATATTAGAATCAATATCAGGGGTTGAATCAGAATAAGCTTGGCTTTCGCGGTTATAGTTTTTATCATAGTTATTTCGATTAATTTCTTTGTAAGCATTTAACTTTTGTTCTTTTGTCACAATAAATATCTGATTCAGTAATAGTTAGTTTGATGATATCTATTGTCATTGATTAGTAATATTTTCATTAATTTAAGAATTAACCATTTCTTGCGATGATAATTGTTAGTTAAAGTGATCTGCTTGAGCTTATTTACCAACATTTTGCTATTGAGACATTACTGAGTTAATAATAGTCAACTAAGACCCTTGAAAATCACTAGAACTACCATTACAATCTTTTGAATCATCTTCTTTTTGTATTTTAAATGTAAATTTTGATGGAGATTGCTTGGACATCATTAGAGGTGATGAAATCAATACCTATTATTCTGAATGCCGCCGTTACATCTCAAGCACTTGATTTCTTTTAAACTATAGCAAATATGATAGGAAATGAAATTAAGAGAAAGTGAAAATAAATGAAGTACATTTCTTCTAAAAAAGGTTACTTACTTGGAAGGCTTTCTCTTAATGACTTTTGTCTTTTTCTATTTGCTTTCTTGCATGGCTTCTAAATATTCTAAATGCTTAATTCATTCCATATTTGTTAAATTCTTTTGATCTATTATTATATGAAGCCAGAACTTTTTGAAGATTTGGATTAATAGAATCTCTGGCACTTTTAAGCTTGCTAAAGAATTTCTGAGCATGCGATCTCACTTATTACTCATTTCTAGTACTTACATACTCAAATACTTTGTTCCATTTCTTCCCGTGAATTGTTAGAGCCTCTAGGAATTATTTATGCTCTTGTTTTGTCCATCTACCATTATTTATAACTTTATTATTGTTTTTAGGATAAGTGTGCTTCACTTGGAAGATAGGTTATGTTTTTTAAGTCTATAATTTCTTCTCTTCTGACTCGAGAATATCTAGTATATTTTCCTGATTTTGAATATTATTTGAGATAACCTAAACTTCAACTGACCTACTTTTTCTCTCTCTATTTTCATTCACTGATTGCCTAATCCCTTCTCTTGAAAATTCCTAATTATATGATTTGAGTAAGTCCTCAAAACTAATGCCATTTATTGTTCCGTATTTCTCCAATAGTTTATGATTTTCCTTATCTACTTCTGCGGTAGATTAATTCTTCGTAGGATGAGCATTATTCCGTTGAGTAGTCTATCTTGATTAATTTAGTTCAAAGTTCTTTTACTATGGCTCTTAAAATTCAGAAACGTCAGCTCGAGCTTGTATTGATTTAGATTTACTATACATCTACATAAAGTTTTAACGAAAAGGAGTATATATATTACTTGGTCTTGATCTATGCGATATTTGTAAGAAGCTAATAAATTAAGATTTTAATTGGTACCTTTTTATTCTTCTACTTATAATATTTTTACAAAACAATCTATCTTTTAAATATTCTAAAAATTGCCACTTCATGGGGTTTTGGGGTTTTGGGG